CATTAAATATTGGAGAGTTATTTTTGGAATTTCAGTAATTAATTTTTTCTTTTATTTTTAACCATTGATTATTAATTTGTATGTTGAGATTGGATCTCACGGTTATCACAAACAACTCAGTTATTCTTTGAATGGGCCCCCATATATATATATATATATATGTGTGTGTGTGTGTGTGCTCACGTGTATAAAATAACTATTTAGTATTCATACATCAATATCATACATATTATTCATCATGAATATTTATGTATGATAACGTGTATACAATAACTCTCTAATATTTATATTAGTATGATGTTTATCATAAATATTTATTTTCTTCATAATATTCATCACGCATATACATATTATTCATCTCGATAGATTTCCTGATCCATCTCGATAAAAGTTAAAAGCGGTAGGTTATAGTTTTACACAAACAAACACACAATAAATTAATCAATAGGTTCTCAATCGATCTCGATGAAAAATGAAGGTGTTATATTATGATTTTAACACACAACCATAACCGCTAATGGATGGGTTTTTGACTAGTCTTAATTGGTTTCAATTGGTGTCGATCAGTCCCAATAGGTTGTAGATCGATCTCGATGTGTTCTTAATTTGGTCTCAATGGATTTCCGATCCATCTTGATAAAAGCTGAAAGTGGTAGCATATGGTTTTACACACACAAACAAACAAATAATAAATCAACCGACAGATTCTTGATGGAAAATGAAGATAGTAGGTTGTGGTTTAACACACATAAACACATACCAAGTCAATAAATGGATTCTCGACCTTTCTCGATCGGTCTCAATAGGTTTTCACTTGGTCTCGATAGATTCTTGATAGGTCTCGATGGGTATTGGGTTGCGGTAATAAAAAACGCAAAGCCTTACGGCGTTGAAGAAGGTGATATTGAGTTATGGACTTACGGTATCAAGTTGTTGGACACACTTGAATGTACATAAATATGCATAATGAATATAACACATATATACTATTTAATGTAAAAAACAGTTAAAATGTAAAAAAAATAACTATATCAAGATGGATGTAAGCATGAAATTCTTGTTTTTTGATATAGTTTTTTTAATTAAAATATTATTAATTTTTAAGATAATTTATTTTAAACATTAACGGGGTAAAAAAAATTTAATTAAAAAATAAAAAGGTGTCAATTGAATTAACTTCATTCTTTACACTAAATCACCTTAACTAATAAATTTAACTAAAAACACTATTTAATATGAATTGTTGAATCAAATTAGATTAAGAACCAAGATTGATCTTCATGCTCACAATGAAAAATGAGTTTATAGACCTATATATGTATATATATATATATATATATATATATATACTATATTATAAAGCATTTGATAAAAAGTTTTAAAAACCAATTTTTATGCATGAAGTATTGTATTTTGATGGATATTACTTAAAATTTCAAAATTACAAGTAATTATACACAAGTACAACTTATTAAAGCTCCATGTTTAAATTCATGTAATTAACTGCGGATAAACATAATCAAATAGAGGATAAACATCTCATTTTAAAATATAAAAAATCTAAAATATAATTAGAATAATTATCGAGTTCTAACAAAATAATTAATTATTATTTTTATGAGAAAATTATATTATTAAACCAAATATAAATTACTTCGTTATTGAACCTAACTTAAATTATAATAAAAAATATTATGTCAGTGATTTTCAAATTAAAAAAATAAAAAAAGATTTTAAAAAAATAACTGATTATATTTATTTTTAAATTAAAATAAATATATTTTGTATATGATTTCTCAAATTAAAAAAAAATAAAAAATAATTTAAAAATAATTACTGATGAAATTTATTTTAAATGTCTAAAGACTAATTTGTTCCAAAAAATTATCCAAAAATTTAATCATTTCAAACACTAAAATTTATTGAGATTTTTTTTAGACTTCCCTATTATTTTTTTTGTCCCGAAGAAATCACATAAAACAGTAACCGGTTGCCACCGGCCTTACATTCTTTCTCCTCATACTCTAGTCTAGTGTAATTTGTTGAATGACATTTTCACAAATAAAAGTAATAAACCAATTCAAAAAGTGAAGAAAAGGACAAAAAACCGGTGAGATCAAGGATAATACCTTGACCAATCATAGGCCGCCATGTAAAAATTCAGATAAATGAAACAAGGCCAATATCTGTTTTCGTGAATAATAAATTTCTTTCATCGGATAAACATGATAAGAGTCAAGAATTTTAACGGGTAAGAGCAATAAGAATGATGGAGAGTCTTACCTGGTAAATAAGGATGACGACTCTTACCTAGGTAAACGCTTACTCAGTAAATTGTTGCATTCGATATGTTTTGATGTACTAAAATCTTACACATCAAAATAAATTATAGTGTTAGATTCCTATCATTAAGCGCTTACCGAGTAAGCATTTGGATAAACAGCCCCTAATTCTATCATCCATATTATTAAATTATATTATATATAAGGTGATGCTTTTATGAGGGGGACATTGACACTGCTTCCTAAAATTCAAGTTTGCAAGAATAAACCAAAGTAACCAAATCATGCGGAGGGAAGGGGTAGGATATATGCAAACCTTTCTTTTATTTTGGGATAGACATCATAGCCTATGTCGACGACAAGTCTAAAGACACGTGAGAAATTATTTTCGAGTTCGCAAGAATAATGGTCTTATTAATGAGGGCTAGAATGTACATGTCCTCAGAGTCGGACTTTTATACCCGTGATGAATTTTAATGATGTTATAGTAGCACCAACTAACCAGAATCAGGAGTTGGTTCCTTCTGAAGAGAGAATAAGCACCATATAGGTTTTGAGAAATCAAAAAGTCCTTTGTCAAATGTATTTACCTCTATTTTATAGGTGGTGACGCTAAGTGTTGTTGGAGGCCCGCATCGGCTAGACACTAACCATCAAACCTGCATATATGTAAGAATCTCCCTTCTGTCCGTAAAAGGCTGTATTAGAGATAGATTAATTCAAAAGGGTTTCATATGATTTACCACATCTAACAACTCGTCGCCCTCTTCTCCAGCCTCCCTCTGAGGAGGCGTGTTGAATCCCACATTAGCTAGACAAATATCACAAAACCAGTATACTCTGTAAAGGTCGAGTAACAGTTATCTCCTGAACCATTTTATTAACAACAAAAGAGAAAATGTGCTTATATATATGTGTGTGTGTGTGTGTGTGTGTGTGTGTCATGTGCGTGTTAGGTGCCGTTTATCAAACGCTTACTCGGGTAAGCGCTTACCAAGTCACTTTACTTTACCGGATGAATATGGCAAGAACTAAAAATCTTACCCGGTAAGAGCGAAGGCAAGAATCGAGAGTCTTACTCGGTAAGTGAGGACGATAACTCTTACGATGAATATGGCAAGAACTAAAAATCTTACCCAGTACTGTTACATGGAATACTGAACACAGGCACCATTATTCCAATTATGCTATAATATCATAACGACAATATTAACTCATATTCTATTCTTAAAAGCTCAAATTAAAGAAGGGTAGATAGACGATCCAAATGGCTCTTGTGGCTATTGTTACGTGTTAGATTTGAAATGTCTTATTATTCATCTTTACAGGTTTTATGTCTCAGCTTGTCAAAGTATGACTTCCTGACAGATGCTAGAAGAATAACCTTCTGACGTATTTTTTTTAAATAAATGACTTTTCGCTAGATTTAAGAATGTATCTGCTTAAAAGAAGAATGCCTCAAATTTCTTCAGAAGATCAATGGAGCAATTTCTTTGATCTAGATGGTTCTCTAGTTTTTAAGACTCAAATAACAGCATCGGAGCATTCTTAGATTAACAGCAATATGGGAACCTTTAGTCCCACAGCCAGGATGACATTATAAGGTTATGGTTATGGCCCCTACGATTTAGCTCACAATCAGTCAAGAGATACACAATAAGAGTCTAGGAAACTGATCAAATTTTACTACAAAGGTAAACTTACCTCATCTTTATTTGCAAGGAACCACAGTGAGTGCACGAGGGGACTATGTATGCTTTCCTAGCCTAAAGATCTTCATTATCGCAATGACACTTCTGCATCTTACTGTTTTAAAACTCCATAGATGAGTGCTACACTATGTAGATGATTGTTATAGATGATTCTTATCAAAGCAGGAACCATTTCAATAGTTTATGTCCACCAAAGCTAAGCTCGATACAAGCTTAATTATGGATCAGATGCAGAATCTTCAATTGGCTTCTAGAGTTTTAAGCATTACCATAGAAACTCTAGTTTCATCCTAGTTATCTAGAAATACAACTAAGATGTCACAGTAAACATCACATATTTCTATCCTAGCACTAGCAATCAGTAGTCCCTATTAATTAATGAAAAAGGTAGTGAAGTTACCTGCTCTGAGCTAGGAGCCATGCAACTGATGAATTAGGTGTCCACCATTCAACTTTCAGCCTTTCTTTCCACAAAGCCTGCACAGTATCATATATATATACACACACACACACGCGTATACATACACACACACACATATATATATATATATATATATATATATATATATATGAAATGAGTCTGCTAGACAGCACAAATTATTTTTGTAACTTGTACATTCAACTGAAGCTATCTGGTTATTGAAAAAAGTACAGAGCGAAATCTACCAAAAACAGGGTCCATATACGATGCAGGCTTGTACGTCTACCATATACGAGATCCACCATAATGCTAGAGTCAATTATTGATTCTGAGTGTTCAAACTTCAAATCCTGTTAAAAGAAGACAATTTACAAGAATACTGAGATAGAGGCAAGGATAACTGCCCATGAAAGAAGATTTTTTTTTAGCTCCAAATACCCCTTGGTAATAGAAGGCTAATAATAATATAAGTAGGAACAATCAATAATAATCAGGAGTGAACTTACTGTAAAGGCCATGAGCAGGATTCCAGCGAGATTAGACCATGCACGAACTACCCGAACATAATTAAGCTTACAAGAATTATTGGATAAATAAATGCTTTGAACATAAAGATGGGTAAACAAGGTAATTTACATGAACCAGAAAGGCATGCTTTTGAAATAGATTAACTGCTCACATTGGGTTTAACCGAATGTGACAAAAATGTGGAGTTGTACAATGCATCAACGCAATTCAGTCGAATTGATTTTTCAGAATAGGTTGACTTTAACATGTATTATGTACATCTCCGGCCAACAATATAAATGAAGTTACAACTTTTTGATCCTCCAAAAAGATTTGTAGTAAATAACCAATAGTCATTTGGGAGGTCTTCATCCCTCTGTGTCGATACTATCGTCATTGGTGGGAATGTGTCTTCTATCTGGCAGACTGATTTGCCTAGGGTTAACCGAATCTCCCTCAACAAGCCCTTCTGAAGACATGTTTAATGCACCATTTGCCGAAGATGAACCCAACAAGCGGCGGACAGCTGGTGAATCAGCTGATGTTGATGCAGAGAAATTGTAAGCGAAAACCCCCATTGGGTGGTCAAATTTGCAACTTGGACCAAACTTGCATATACCATAACGAGAATAGAAAATGCACAAAGGTTCTCCCTGTAGAAATAGAAATAGAAACCATGTTAATTATTCTATTGAGAAATATCCATACACAACTGATATCCATATGTCCCTTTCATTTGTTTATACTTTCGAATTCGATCAAGATGCAAATGCATTTTCACCCTAGGAGTTAACTCAATTCTTACAGCTTTTAGTTATAACTTGTGTATCAAACTCAAAATAACCACAAAGTCCTGTTCACCTAAGAAAATTTGTCTTGGCACTACCATTCCCTTAATTTGGCAGATTGCACTATGAGATATTACATTTAAGCAATAAAAAACATCTAATTAATAGTTTTCAGTTTGCAGCGACAGAAAGACATCTATCAGACTTCAAAACAATTGTCATCATATTTGTAACTAGACTATTTGTCTGTTTCCTACTCATTGTGTGAACAAACCTGTTTATTGGCACAGGAGACAATTGGATGTTTCACGCAATCAGGTTGCATATTTTAGTGATGTGAGCGAGTTCATTTCAAGTTGGGGCATCCTTCATTTCATAGTTTGAAGAACTCGCTTTCTAGAAATTCTCTGTTGGCCGCATTAGTAAGAAAAGCATACATGAACAACTCATCCACCTAAAACCCAGAGTAGATTTTTCATTTTAATTAGTTCCTTCCAATATCTGGGGGCGTTACCCGACTGAGGCTCCTATTGGCTTCAAGTACTTCCATTTTCATTAATGACTACTCTCATGCTACCTTATTTAAGCCTAGAAGTAAAATCTCTCTGCATTTGGCTGCACTATAACGGTGTGCTAGACAGGAACATCATCACCTACAGAAGGTTGTTCGCACCATCTCAATCCATCAAACGTTCATCATTGGATATGATCGCAAGCAATTCTCATTTCCCGTTTTCCGATGGAAAAGATAGATCCTTCTATAATTCACAATTTGTTGTCTTTACCAACTTTTACATCGTCCTGTCACAACACAAAATCTTTGGGCATGTTTGTGTTGCCTGGTCCCAGCACATTGGATATCAGGTCCCTCAAGTGTGTTTGCTGGATACTCACAGTCATAAAAAGAGCATCATTGCTCAACACCCACTCTTAGGAGATGATCCCCTGTATTAACATTAGTTTCACCAAGTATGAATGCCATTTTTACTCTTAGTGTGTCAAGTTTCTATCATAGTCCCCTGTAACCTGATGACTGAGTCCAGAAGAAGCAGGAATTACTTTCATTCCCTCCAAATTAAGTGGGAATGGATGATTATCCTTAACTCCTTGATGTGTAATTCCCTTATGCCCAAACAACCATCTTTATTCATTACCATTTCCATTCCTTACCATCCAAAACCCCCAACCAAGCACCCCCAACTTCTTTCTAAATGAACATAAGAGCAGCTGCATTTTCAATATTAAATACCGACACATCTTTTTGCAATTTGTTGATGGAAGAATTCCAAATAGTTACATGTACAACAAGGCATCCCAAACATTTCTAGAGCTCGAGAGAATTGGAAAACCGACCTCAAGAAACTTCATTAATGAAGTGTTCATTGCGAATGAAATACTTTGGAAGACTCATTAACCACAAACCCTAGAGGTTGTTGGAAATAAACCACCTCCTCAAAAAGTGCATTAAAAGTTAATTCAATATCCAATTATGCATGGCAGCCTAAATTGTACATAGATGAAAGTTTCATCAGGGTGCAGGTTTGAAGAATAGTCATCATATGTTTGAGAACAATGCTTCACATCTAATCAGGCTTTTGGAGAAGCAAAGGAATCATCAAGGTTCAGACTTAGTTTTTATGATGTAAATTATGCTCATTACAGTACCATTATGTCGGGTTAAATAGGGTTTTGTTTTGTTCTTTTTGTTCTCGCTTCTTTTTGTTCTTTTTGAGAAGCAAAGGAATCTTCTATTTCATGTATTGTAGTTACTCTCTTCTTAATAATGTATTATTTCAAACTGGAAAACCAATGAATTAACATTATCCATTGAGATGCAGGGATAGTTGGTTTACATTAGACTACATACCCTAACCATATGAGTTGTATAAGCAAAACATGCTTACCAAAGTGAAATCATAATTAAGTTCAAATTGATCACTTGAGCTAATATAGGTCACTAACATGGAATGATTGTTTCTTTTAATTTTTTGGTTACCCCTTCCTCCATAAAAATAACTAGATATAGGTGCCAAAGTAGCCATACCCTGCTAAACACTTATATTTAATGACCCTGTACGGTCTAATTTATCAAGACTCAAGGCTGGGACATGCCCTAAAGCATCCACAATTTATTGATCTAGCCAATATAGCCATTATTGAAGGGGAAGATATATTTGTCCACATATATGCCTCAAAAGGAAGTTGGGAATGTGTTGACAGTGACAGCACAGTTGGACCCCATAGGTTTATCAATTGACATGGAAACTGAACACATGGCAGCAACATTGACATGTAAATCCAAAAAGTTAGATAAGGGCATCGTTCGTGTATTCAGTGCAGGTGTTTCTCTAATAATTATCTTAGGCCCAAAAATTGTGACAGATCCCACATGATGTTGCACAAGACTCATTTATCTCTAGCAAATGTCGTTACTTCCTAGCCACAACCCTTTCCTCATCATGACATTTCCTATTTTCCATTGGTTGATCTTTCATCTCCTAAAGGGTTTATAGATAGACTGTGAAAAGAGAAGAAAGGAAGAGTCACCTAGACGTGAATAAAATAGTTCCATTTATGAGAAGCAATTAAGAGTATCAGAGCAACTTGCATCAAAGCTAAGATTTATTGCTTACATTTCAATGATAATTTCCAATTCATGTCATAGATTCAAGATGGATGATATTGTGAAAGAATGAAACTAATGCAATATGGAAATTGCTAATATAGATGTAATTATCAATAAACAAGCAGAACTAACCGGACGTAAAGGAAGGCCCATTGGACTAAGGACGCAATCAGGCACAGGAATCATCCTTTCTCTGGGGTGATGAAATCTACAAACTGCACCAAACTTACAGTCACCAGTCTTCATGTAAAATTGGCATTCGGGCTGACCAGGCCTCTCAGGGAACACATTTTCACTTGGTAATGCGTAATAGCCCGTACGATATGAAGAATAAGTTCCTTGTACTGCTTCATTAGCTGCTTCACTCTGGCGTGATGTTCCATAAATTTGACTGTTTCCAGCTGTCTGCTGTTGGCTCTCTGACGATGAAAGGGAACCAAGCGGACCCTGAAGAAAAACTTCACCGAGTCAGATTATAAAGCCTTTGTATACCAAGTCCACGACTACACCAAACATATTAAGAAGCAATAAACAATATTAAACAAAAAAAAACATATTCTGGCCACTGTGGGTTCTTGATTTTAGCAATCAAGTCACATTGAGTCACTATGGTTTGTAAAGATTGACAATTTCACCATTTGAATAATCTTCCATTAGTAAATTAAAGGCAAGGCCTCTTTAGCATCCATGTGGCATTTTGGTTCGACATGGGATTCCAAATTTAGTGACTTGATCCATGTGGTTTTATGACTAACGATTTTGTGATCATGGTTTATTTATAATGATTTGATCATTGTATCCAATTATACATCAATACTACAGCTCCCATTGTTTCAAACAATGTCAAAGAAACTATCTTTCCGAATTAAGATTGCAAGTATGTATCTTCTTTGGGTAGAACATAACCTATGACTACCATATACGAAAATGCTGTTATTTATTTTATTTTCTTTCATCACAAAATACATTCAACAATGAAATTTCGTATCTTATCTTTTGCTAATATCATAGAAACAAAAATAAATTACTTGTTAACATCATGATAAAGTTTATGATGTAGTATAAAAAATAGTAATATGTTAGAAAACGGAAAATATATGACTAAATGGTAAACCAAATAGTAAGTGTGATACAGGTGTGTTGTATGTAGAGTCAAGCAAAACATGAACCTAGATGTATAAAAAAAATTGGTGTAAAATGATTTGAACATACCACGTTAGGTTATAATTCGGAATGTGATGATTTTGTATCCAAGCTGGGAACGGTGTATGCCTACTCATCAGCTTGAGGGGAATGTGAAAAATGTGTGTTGAAGCGTATCCCACATGGAAAGCGAATAGAAGAAAGAGTAGGAATATTTCATATTGAATAGGGAGGGTTCCCTGATTAAATAATAAAAAAAGCAATAACCTCTCCTAATAATATTTTCCACAAAAACATTGCAGTTCTTCCAACCTCACCATAGGTGAGGAGTGTATGTGAGTTTCATTTGCCATATATATATATTGTATACTTCCAAAAAAAATTCATTGTATAAGAAATTAAGAACAAACACTATAATAATTTAGTTCCAACTATTTCTAGAAGGCCTGTGCTCTTTCCAAGAACACCTATACCCTGCAGTTTCTGCAGAATGCTTATACTGTTCACCTGCAAGAAACCACAGGGGTAAAATAGTCTTTCCATTGTGAGAATATGTGGAACCGGCAGATTTACTCTCCAAAAAATCCCTTGAGAAGAGAAAGGAGGTTCCAACATGTATGGAAGAGAAATGGTCCAAGCCTAGCCGATGTAGGACTCTAACATCCTTGACGGATACTTCGAGGCAAATATCCTTGCTGTCTCTACAGCCCTTGACAATCATAAAGTTCTCATTCAATGGCTCAACCTTGACACATGTCATACAAGATAGCAACTGGTCCAAGGTTCCTTCGGAATGTAAGCAATTAAATTCTTGAAGTTATTTTAGATATCAAAATGTCTCATCACTTTTCTGCTAATTTATCATTCGACCACTCATATAATAGTGCTTTGTAAATCAGTTATCTTTTTCATCCTGTTATGTGGTAATTTGATGGGTCCATTTCTTCAATCTTACAAGCTAAGATCAGAATAAACTACACATTTAGACAGATGCTTTTGTCAGGGACCACTTGGAGCATGAATTAGCATTTAATTTATATCAAATATTAATAGTCAACTCCTACTACAGATATGTTGAAACCAACCCCAATTATATAAAAATAACATACTTTATATCATATAGATGGAATGAGATATAGAAAGAACATATCTGATAAAAACAACTTACACTGTATGCACCCCATCCTGGAACAGATACCACACCCTGTGGTAGAATCACTGGTGCATAATTCGAAGGGGCTTGCCAGCGTGGACTAATAAAGGAAGCTCTAGACAAAGACCAGTTTGTTATTCCTCCTGGGTATGACTGTTGACCAGGACTAGTTGGTGATTGGACTGTAGGATACACAGGAGAGCCACGATATGAGACCATCATATTAGATGGTTGTGGGTGATGGAATTTACAAGTGCTTCCAAATTTGCACTGTCCGGTTCTCAGATAATATGCACATTCAGCTTCATTCTGCATGAGAGAATAAAGAAAAGACCACTTCTGAATACCACATTTTACCAGAGCAAGCTACATGCACCACAAACCAAATAAGGAGTTTTCACAATGAAGAAAAGTGCAACTAGAGGCCCTACGGCTTTACCATTTTGTTAAAAATAAAATAAAATTTAGTATAAAAATCAAACATCTCTGCCAAAAGGCTGATTTACAGAAGTAAAATAGTCATATCTCTATCGAGTAGATACATTTACCAATAAGAGTAGTGCATCATATGATCCTTCTCATTTCATTGTTTCTCTTGGTCTGAAAGAACCTACCTCTCCTCTTCAGAGGCCTGGCCAACTTTAAATCCTTGTACCATATGACCATATCTGAACTGAGTTCTTAGATTGAGTCATGTAAGAAATATAGTAGTCTAAAGATCTATCTCTACTAACTGAAATATTGCTTGACTTCAGGGTTTTTATTGTAACCATGGCCTATCGTACTCCTTTGTATTGGTGACTACCTTCTAAAGCCATACATAACATGAAGCAAAAAGTCAACATCAAGTTTTGCATTATGATTTGTCTTATTGCCCACATTAGAGTAAAAATATTTTGGGATCCCAGAATTCAGTCTGTTTTCCGGGTTTGGAGAAGTACGGATTTTCGGTATTTCATGATTAGATAACATAACAACAATAAAATAAAATGCCAGAACGAAAAAGTACACGTATTTAGTAATTAAGTGAAATAAAAGAAAACGATGTGTATGTGAAAGATGGATAAGTGCTTATATTAATAAAAGAAAACATAAATATAAGAATACGAGATGCAGATGCAAACCGTTCGAAGTGGATAACCCAAAACGTTTAGTGAAACCCTTCCAGCAATCCCAGCCTTGTCTCGGGGATGATGAAACTTGCATGTTGCTCCAAATTTGCAGGTACCCGTCTTCAAGTAGTACTGTCATAAAAAACAGAAAAATACAAAATGATAGAGAACACCAAACGGCTAGTGAATATATTTCATATAGAGAGTATGCTGAGGATGGAATGGGCAAGAATTTAAGCACCAAGATACAAATATATCCTCTTGGATGGGGTGAATTAGCCTAATGAAAGATGTATCTCACTTGAACTTAGGCTCAGGCACTCAACTAGGCTTGCTCATTTTGTGGTTGCCCATGGAGTTTGCTCGGTATAACCTAGAGGTCCCGAGTTTGAATCCCAACTTGTGGTTGACATGAATTACCAGGGCTGTATCAGTTGGCAGCAGCAAACATTTTCAATCCGTGGTTTACTAACTTCCAGGTGAGGTTTTCCAGGTCTAAAAAAGATTGGGTGCATTTTTAACTCCATCCGTGCTTAACTTTAATGTCACATCATCAATGTACTAGGCCAGCATATATCTTCAGGGTGGGGTCATGCATCTTGTAGAACTTGCAATGAAATTAATTGAAAATTGAAACAACAAAAGACATAAGATGATTAAAGGAATTACTGGAAGTGACTACATAAACTTGTTCAAACAAACTTCCTAAGATGTTGTTAATATATCAAAAACTATATGGATTTGTTTGGATGGAGAGTAACATTTATTAGTACAAATGCTCTTGATCCTTCGCCTCTGGATAGAAGGTTGGTGAAAATAATAAAAGCTATCTTAGAATGTTGTATTTTTCAACCTTTGGCAACATGAATATTTTCACAATTTCGGATGAGGTCAGAAGAGAGCCAACGGCATTTAAGGTAAAGTCAATATCCATATATGGATAAAAAAATACTTTTTTTTATAAAGAAGACGAAACCCCTTGGAAAATTTGGACAATAGATACTTGCCTGGCATTCAGGTTGTCCTGCTCTTTCTGGATATTCTCCTCTCATTTTGGCTGTTGCAATAGCCTGGAACCATAAATAGCAATTATTAGAAAAGATGAAATTATCAAGCAATTTAAGTGGCCTATCCAATTTATCCAAAGTTTGCAAAGTCAACATGAGATGGGAAATGCATGTGTAGTGACAGCACTAATCTACTGATGTGAATTGTGGACTCATGAAGCTCAAAATTCTATAGACAAAAGCTATGCTGTGGCCAGATCTGTACTAAGAGTACATTGAAAAATTCATGAAAAAGACTTGACCTTGCTAACTCAGATATTGCTCAACAAGAAGAAGACGTATTGCACTTGTGAGTGCATTGTAAGGATGCTTGTGCATGCATTTATGTTCAAAGTCATAGGCAAAATATTATTCAAATTAATTGGAAGGAAGCTTATATTCATGGACAAGATGAACTGAAAAGGGACAGAATCATCGAGAGAAAAAATAACCAGGGTAACAGAGTAGATAAGAATTGGTAAGATCCGTAGCTACCAATTATAGGAAACACTGATTCCTCATAAAGTGTCTTGTTAACGATATTCAGCAATCTGCTAACTTTGTTATTTATTAACTATCAAAAACATTCCTATAGCCTCTAATACAAGAAACTTATTACATCAAGACAGTGGTGCAAATTTGCACATATTGTTCTAGAAGATAACAAAAGCCGTAGAATACTACATTTACTTATTTTCAGACAGGGATCTTTATTTTCTAGAATATGAGAACATATAAGACCATTGCTTTGCACGTTACATATTGGATTGTACAGCCTAACCCACACCAAGAACCACAAGAAAATGTTAAAAATAAATTGCTTCGGCCATGTTGGAATTCAAAAGTTCGAGTAAACAATGTCTAGCATATACAAGTCTCCTCCACCCAAATGCTAGGGTTGGCTTTCATATTCTTCTCTCCAATCACCTAACGGATTTTGGTTCTCTCATCTCCTTGCTTCCACTCCACACAAACTTCTCATTCATTCCTCCTGAATCCCACTAGCCTTTGTACAGCCAGGTTACAAGAGACTTGAATTAACGTATTACCACCTAGGGAGCAGGTCAATCTAAGCACTTGATGGTAACATTCTCTTACATTAGATGACCAACTTTCAGGTATGTCAACTTTTATCCCATGTGACAACAAAGAAACGTGCAACCAACATGTAAAAAATATCAAGTTCTAATCATATTCAACATAAGAAGGTAAAAAGGATGCCCTAAAATTTGGTACATATGTTTTCAAGGGGTTTGACTTTCCCACAATTGCTTATTGCCATCACTACCAAAATTAATAATAACTGAAAACCTACAAATAATGTCATGTACATGTTAGAAAGGAATTCAGGAATGTTACATATGTAAAGGAAGAGCAATGATCATGGCCAAGACTTTCTAATTTGAGGGGCCCTACCTTAAACTCCTTTTAGATGTATCAGAAGATTCTGCTTCCATGTCAGAAATAAACATAAACAACTTCATAAATAACATACTTCTTTCACTCATCAATGAAAACAACTAGCAGCAATCAAGTTAGGTTGTCCGTTTTACCAGTTTCCTGTTAGGAGGATGATTGAAACGACATGTTGCCCCAAACCTACAAAGGCCTGTTCTGATGTAATAAGAACAATCTGGTTCTCCTTCACGTACAGGATAAGGTCCTGGATCCATCTCTTCCTTGATCACAATTTCAGTTGTCAAAGTACATCTGAAATAGTATCAAAGTTGTCAGCTAATTATGTTAATCAATATAGATTAATCAGAAAAGTACCTATATATGAATAGTTCTTTTAACAATTCAATTATGCAAGAACATATTTTTATTCTATAACTTTTTCCTCTTCCTTTGTTAATACTCCACGTAATTGCATAGACATCTTATTATGGGCATGAATGACCGCTTTAAGTTTCACTTTTCAAAGAAAGCAAGTTGCCTATATAACTATACATACACATGTATATACATACATATTTGTATACATGGACACATATGTATGGATACACCAATACATACATAAACAGATACATACATCAATCCACGTATGTGTGTGTTCACATCAACAAACATATATGTGCATAAAGCTATTTAAACTTTCATATATGTGAGCGTGCACAATTACAAACATATATTTGCATATATGGATACATGTCCATGTGTGAATATGTGTAGGTGTGTAGTCAACCTAGGAATAACACCTGAAAAGATGGCATCTTGACTTATCACCACTTGTTCCCATGAAACGAATGGTAGGAAGAAAAGAAGAGAGAGTACAATAATAAAAGAAGGCGACTCTGTAATCTTGCATATTCAACAGTATTAGATAATTGAAAGTTTCGTAGTAGCTGTAATCACCAGTGTGCAACAATAGCAAGGAGGAGCATCATCAACTTTAGAAATTAGAATCCATCTATATAAATACCTTTTTGAGGAGTGGGATATAGTAAATTATATTTGGTTTCATTTATGGGATAGTATGGTCTGCGTGCATCCTATAACCACACCTAACCTCTGCGAATGGGATTCACCATTCACGGACTCAGGGATAGTACCGGTTAGTTTGGTTATATATGGGTTAGTACTGGTTTAGTTTGGTTATTTATGGGATAGTACAAGAACAAGAGCAGAAAGCTGCCAGCTCTAATTGCTACAAACTAGTGAGGACAATTAAATGATTAAGTCATGTCATGTCATATAATATACTCTTTACATTCAAAAGAGATGCAAAAAGTAAAAGAAAAAAAGAATATTATTTAAAGAAAAAAATCCAAACAATTACATTAACAGAACCTGCAAATAGAATTAGGAATAGCAACAAACAAAGAAACCAAATTTATGAAATTATCTGATACGGCGATTATAAAAACCTTAACCAAACACAAACAGAAACATTAAATCAAGATCACAGTTACATTTGATCATCTCGACTAAAACCGCAATCAACACAAGAGAATCCAAATTAGCTCAAACAATTTCATAATCCATTCATCAAATTCATAATACGCAGAGTGAAAAATGAAACAAACAGATAAAAGGATCTAGCGGCAGAGGAAAAGAGAACACCTCGGCGCTTACAGTCGATCGTGACATCGGAACTCAGCTACAAAGTCCGTACGACTACAATCACACTGAAACACCGTTATTCACCGCCGGCTAAAATCTCTTTCCGGCAATCACATATCCATATATGAGTTAATATTTCGAAAATTTCTCGTTCAGTGTCGATGGCCTCCGATCAAATGTGTGAGAGAGAGATAGAGAGAGAGAGTGGAAGTGGAAGAAGAGAGATGGGGGTGCCTTTTTTCTGGTTCGGACTCTGCTCTCCACAAAAGAACAGTAGAAGAGAGAGAATGAAAACCAACCAACCATTTTCCCCAACGAAACCCCCCAAAACCAAACACTCACACCAGTCATCTCTTTACCTTTTTTTCTATCACACGCGCGTCATCACACACAAACCCCCCTTTCTCACGCGCGCATTACTACCCCCTTTGGTTACTTCACACGTGCAACGCCTCTTTTATTAAAAAAAATTCGTTTTTTTAATCTCAGAGATATTTTGATCATCGTTGGTTTATACTTTAAAAGTTAAAATATCAAAAGAGTTTTAAATTAAATTATTAATAATTATGAATAAGACATAACAATTAAAATATTTTTTTGTTAAGAGAAATTGTATAAAAATGGAACCAACTTTCACCTGATTCTTCTTTTATGAAATCAACTTTCAAAATCGTCATTTAAGGGTATCTATCAAACTTTTTATTTAAGGATTGACCTGTTATTGCTAACATCATCAGATCTTTTGTCAATTAAGATATTCTACGTCATATTAATCTTTTATTTTAAAACTAATATTCCACGTCATATTTAAAATCGTAAAATAATTATAAAAAATCTAAAATTCTTTTTTTTCAAAAATTATTGTAATAAAATCTATTTTTCATTCCAAATCTCGTTTTTTATTTAAAATTCAGATATCAAATTGAAAAAAAATTCAAAAAATTACTAAAATAAAAATCGTTTTTTACTAATGCAATAAAAAATTAATTAATTTTACTAATTTTTTTCTATTAATTAATTTTTATTGCATTAGTAAAAAACGATTTTTTATTTTGGTAATTTGGATTTTTTTTTTTAAATTTCAATTTGATATCTGAATTTAAAATAAAATATGATATTTGGAATGAAAAATAGATTTTATTGCAATAATTTTTGGAAAAAAAAAAGAATTTTAGTTATTTTTTTATAATTATTTTGCAATTTTAAATATGGCGTGGAATGTTAGTTTTAAAATAAAAAGTTAATATGTCGTAGAATATCTTAGTTGGCAAAAGATCTGGATGATGTCAGCATTAAGAGGTCAACAGGTCATCCAAACCCTTAAATAAACAAAAAAGTTTGATAGAGACTCTTAAATGATGATTTTAAAAGTTGGTTCCCCAAAATAAGAATCAAGTGAAAGTTGGTTTCATTTTGATGCAATTTTCCCTTCTGTTAATTGTATTTAAGATATTTTTTAAAACTGCATTTTAAGAATATCTTAATCATAATTAATTTAGATTGAGGGGGTGTTTGGAATTGCTTATTTGAAACAACTTATGTTTTTTATCAACTTATTGTAACTTAGTAAGGTTTAATTTTTTTTAAAAACTTCTTATTATCGGTTTGGCACCGTATAAACTGTTTATCCAAACACTCAAAAGTGCTTATTACCGGTGTCACACCGGAATAAGTCAATGAGTTGTTTTTATAAGCAATCTCAAACACCCTCTGAATTACATTTTTAGTTCATGTAGTTTTTTTTTAAAACTTCAAGGACTTTGATTATTATAAAACTAAAAATTATGGACCATCAATGTAGATAATTTATCTATCTATCTATCTATCTATATCTATATATATATATATATATATATATTAAAAGAAAAACCATGAGTGTTTTGAGGTAGCATCATGAGAATAGTGCATTGAGGTGTTGGTGAATTGTGGTTGATTTAGAGATATCCCACATTGGTGAAAAATTGAAAGATTTGAAGAAAATGAAGTGTATAAGAAATGTGGATTTGGTGTCTTTGTGTCAAATAATGGGGTTTGCCTCATAGGGTTGTCTTTCTTTGGATGACCCTCTTTGAAATTTATAACCATGATTGGGATGAAAACCAACCAAATGGGGAAAAAAAACTTTATCTTTATCTTTATATATATAAAAGAAAACCTTGGGGTATTGAGGTGACACTATGAGAATTGAGTATTCTCATATGATGAATTGTGGTTGAGTTTTACTTGTTCCACATTGATGAAGAGTTGAAATATTTGAATAAAATGAAATGTATAAGAAAAGGGTATTGAGGTGACACTATGAGAATTGAGTATTCTCATATGATGAATTGTGGTTGAGTTTTAGTTGTCTCACATTGATGAAGAGTTGAAAGATTTGAATAAAGTGAAGTGTATAAGAAATATGGATTGAATGCGTATGTGTCAAATCATGGAGTTTGCATCATAAGGTTGTCTTATTTTGGATTACAGTCTTTGAAATCTATACCATAGGTGGAATCAAAACCAACTAAATGGTAAAAATTTAGTGCAAATATAAAAGGTGAAACCAATGATGATGAACTGGTAACATGAGGTTTGAGTGTTATTCAAATCTGAAATAAGATTGATTTTCATCATCTCACATTAGTAAACAGATGATAGTTTGGAAGAAGATGATAGATGTATAAATGCGAGATAGAGCTTTGAAATCTATAGCCATGGTTGAAATTAAAACCAACCAATTGGTAAAAGATTTATGCAAAATGAATGCAAATGATACATTTTTTTTCTTAACAAAATTTGTTATTATTGTAGTACTTATAATAACAAATGTAGTCTGAGTATCTATTATATCACTTATATATAGAATGAAAGTGTTGACTTAATGATGTGATTTCATCTTATGTTAGTATTCTCCAAATCGTGATTTACGGTGTTGGACGGAGTGTTATAAATATAAATACGATCCCGAGTTTTCAGACATATCGCACTTCCGCTCAAGTCGAGGATTTTACATTTTTTTCTTAAATTGAGTTTTGATCACCGAGCAAACCAAGAGGTATTAATGTGAAATCATGAGAATTGAGTATTGAGGTATTGGGAAATTGTGGTTGAGTTTGTGATATCTCATATTGGTGAGAGATTGAAATATTGTAATAAGGAGGTATGTATAAGTAAGAAGGATTAGATTCATTGTGTCAACTCATGAGGCTTGATAATAATGTTATCTTACTTGGATGATCCGATTTTTATATCATTTCTTTTATATCAATTGACTTTAAAATTTCAAATGAAAGATAACAATATGACTTTAGTATATATTTTATATTATAAAGATGAATTAAAAACTTTAAAATAATATAACGAACAATTTATTGTATGATAACCAGATCTTGGTTGTCACCTGAGGTAATGAATATGTGATTATTTGTTATATATGATTACATGACAGCATGATAAATTGATACATTTGATCATGCTTGTATGTGAAAATATGCGTAATATAGATACATGAATGAGATTATGTGTATTTGTGGATGTACATGTTTGTATGATATATATATGTGTGATATGCATGCATGCATGTGCATGTGTGCATGAGTGTGTGTATATATATATGTGGTTATGTGATTGAAGTGTGAATACATGCATGTGAGAAGGTGTGTTGGCCGACTTTTCTTGTTTTAGAAAGGTATAAAAGGAGGGTTTGACCTCCATCATTTTCCCTTGGCTATTTTCAAAAAGTTGAGCGATTTAAAGAGAAGAAGGTTGACCGAATTTTCCAATTTGAGCTTTTCAAAAAGTCCGATTTTCAAAGAAAGTTGCATAAGGTCAGTGGTTTAATTGCTTTGAAAACTCTTTACAATTGCATAAATTGATTGTGTAGCTTTTATTTTAACTTGTTGAAATGCTTTCCGGATTAGTCCTAAACCGGACAAGGGTTGGGCGATTTAAGCCCTAAACCGGATAAAGCATGAACGATTTATAATAAACCGTTTGGTGAGTGTTGTCCAGATTAGTCTTAAACCGAACAAGGGTTGAGCGATTTAAGCCCTAAACCGATCAAATGTTAAGCGGTTTAGTTTTAAACCGGTCAAGTACTGAGCGATTTATGAATGTGGAAATTATGTTTAAAATTTTGAACGGAGAAGTAGGAATACGACTAAGTGGTGACCGGTTTAGTTAAATCGGATAAGTGTTGAATAGTGTTGTCCAGATTTGTTATCCGAACAAGGATTGTGTTTTAAAACAAGTGATAAATCGGACAAGTGTTGAAAGTATTGTTCAGATTTGTTATCCGGACAAGGTTGACTGGATTAAGTGTTATCTTGACAAATGATGATTCTTTTGGAATAAATAATTGGGAATTTTGACAAAATTGAATTGGAACTGATAATAATTTCATTGACTGCGGTCTATTCTATATGAAATTGTTTTATGAAACATTTTGATGAGGAAATAAGGGTGGCATATCAAAGAGAGGTGTACCATGGATAAGGGTGACATATCAAGGAGAGGTGTACATTTGGATATAAGGGTGGCATTTGCGTATGTGTGTATTTCGTAATATAACTCTTACTATTATATCCTTTAAGATTACCGTAATTTGGAATCTTTATTTCTTTGTGATTTAAAGATTTAGAATTAAGGTTCTTAATGGAAATCGTAGTCTAGATGTTATAAAAGAGAAGATAACAGGTTTGGTCTGAAACTTTAATTTAACCTTATTTGATTCAAGTGGTTTAAATATGGCATTATAATGATGAAATAGTATAAACCTGTTGGGTTTTAATATATTGATTGCAAGTAGAATATTTGGCTTAAAAAGTGAAAGGTATTGTTACTATGATGTTTTATTTAAAATGTTTTGGTAAATTTCACCCTGCAATGACATAAATAGGGTAACTCACTAGACCTTTCGGTCTAACCCTCGTTTTGTGATTTTAAATATGTATTGCAGGAAGTGCTGAAGGTAAAGGGAAGGGGAAAATGTAATAATTTCCCTATATGCTTATCTGCATGAAGATTTATTGACGGCATGTATAGTTTTGTTAGATGAATCTGGTTTAGTGCAAGGATTATATATTGAATTTTTGGCCCATGTATTTTGTACTGGTAGATTCTTGTATTAAGGGACCAATGTGGTATTCAAATATATATATATTTTTATGTATGAAGTCTATGTTACATGCAATGTGTGGAATGAGGTGTTACATATTGATTGTTTTAGTTTGTTATAATAAAAATTGAATTTATGATAATTTTTTTGGATTAACTAAACTTGATTATATGATTATAAGTAAAATAAAATAAACCTATATGTAAAGAAGTTACATGTTAACGTATT